CGAGAACTATTTTAAGAAAACTATAATGGCATTAAAAGAAATAGTAAAAATAATAAGAAATATAGTAAAATATAGCATAGAAATAGAATGGAATAAAATATATGTGCAGTAATAAAAATAACCAATATTGTGTACATTGTGTGCATTAATGTAATGCATAGAGTCTATGATGTGGCTGAGATAAAGTGTCAGTGGGGGCGCGGGCCTTGTTGATGAGGCTATTAGCAGAGGGGAAGAAAACAGACAAATAGCCTCATGTAAATCAGGGTTCATTTACTAAGGCTACACCAACGTCATCAACACGTGCAAAACATGCAATTGTTGACGAAAAAGTACAAGACTAAAATACAAACCATGCCTCTCTGCTGTGTTTTTAGTCTGGTTCCTGAGCCGGTGCAGTCGGACCCCTTAGGTCTCCTGGAGCACCAGGCGGCGGGGAAGCAGCGCAGATGCAGCGGGACATCTCTGACGCGCAGCAACAGTGTTGGGGGTCCGCTGCAGAGCCTGGACTACTCCCCGAGACCCGGACACGGCGTCTCCACCACCAGCCTGCCCTGCAGCCTGCAGGAGGTGTCGGTCAGTGCTGCTCACGTCACTAAATAACCCCACTGTGCTTAAATAGTTGTCAATTTAGTAAATTATCAGTGTGTGTTTCTCAGGATGGCATGGGGACTAAACGCCCGAACCCCAAGCCTGTGTCCGTCCCGTACCTGAGCCCCTTGGTGCTGCGCAAAGAGCTGGAGACGCTGCTTGAGAACGAGGGAGACCAGGTGATCTACACCCACAAGTTCCTCAGCCAGCACCCCATCATCTTCTGGAACCTGGTTTGGTATTTCCGTCGTTTGGACCTGCCCACTCACCTCCCTGGACTCATCCTGACCTCTGAACACTGCAACAAAGGAGTGCAGGTGAGACACTTATGTCTTATGCTAGTGCTCTTCTTCCCATTCCATAACAAGTATTAATTTAATCCAAGTGAGGATCTCTGTCAGGAGCTAGTAATTAGGCTAAAGTTGCTCATGATAGCTCAGCAGAGAAGTAACATAACGTTTGTACTTCAACTTTCTTTGAGGACTTCATTATTTTTTGCCGAAAACATCTGAAAAAGGCAGCCATTTTAAAGGTCAAACCTCCTCAGGTCTTATTGCATCCAATTTTTTGTTTTGCTAAAACAGAAATGAATTAAATCAGGATGTAGAGGAAAAAGTTAACTGACATTTCAGTGGTGGATTCAATTACATTTCAAGATCGTTTTAAAAGGTTGGTGTGATCTTTCCCAAACAAGTGACATTTAAGACGGTTGAGATGTCTTTTAATGTTCTATTTGTCAGTAACATAACTCAATTCTTTATGTTTTCAGCTGCCCTTGACATCACTGTCCCAGGACAGTAAACAGGTTTACGTCCAGCTCCTGTGGGACAACATCAACCTGCACCAGGACCACGGGGAGCCCCTCTACCAGCTCTGGAGGACCCTGTGTGAGTGTGTCCCCCTCCTATATGAGACATTAGTGTAGTACATCCCTAAACACTGTATCAAACTTTTTGATGTGGTTTTCTGGTGGCTTTATTATTCTTATTTGTACCACTAGGGAGAGACAGAGACAACTATTTGATACGATGTCAGTTGGCAGGAAAACTTCAGTGTTCTTACTAAAACAGATAGAATACAATTATTTCTGATGTGTTTTTTTGCAGTGGAGAAGAAGGGGACGCTGGCCCCCACAGACCACCAGGAGATTCGTACCCTCCTCAACACAATTGTTCGTAGCATTCAGACCAATGACGTGTACGGGCCGATCAACCTGCTGATCCGGGAGATCAAACAGCGCCCAGAGGGATTCAAACGGCAGAGGTCAGACTTTATTCTGGGTCTCTTTCCGAAACACTTTCTACAAAGCATTCAGACATTTATATTCTTGATATCTTGATGAATCTCTCATTTGTGTGCCTTGTAATTCTCCCAGGAGTATCTATAGAGAAATAATGTTCCTCTCACTGGTGGCTTTGGGGAAGGAGAACATCGACGTTGGTGAGTGAAATCAACTAGATACATCGTGCTGGCAAGAGTCCCATCAGCATTTTTATTTGTGAAACTCAGAGAACGTCTCTTGCACAATCTTTTTTAAATAATTAAATGGGTAGCTGGTTTAATATGTCTTTCTCACTGTCCTTAAAACTTCAGCATCCATTTATAAAAGTTGCTCTGATGTCCTTAGAGGGCAAACAATTGTTGTTGTTTTTTTGCATTGGATAAAAATAAATCAAATTTGTGAACTTTGAAGAAAGAAAATGCCCCTTTTTAAATGACGATTACAACTTTTGTCATTGCGTTATGGGGTCTAAGTGTCTGGACTTTATTTTAGATGACAGGAGCCAATGTTTAACTTAAATAAAATTAAACCTGTATTCCGTATGCATTACCACAGCCAAATTAGAGTACAATAAATACATGAAAAGGTCGTAGGGATTAAAAAGTGTAGATGTTTTACTTTAACTCTAACTAAGACAGAAACAGTTTGCTCTCTTTTCTGACTTTGTGAATCTTCCCTCCCTCTCTTTGCTATGTCCCTGCAGAGGCCTTCGACAGAGAGTACCGCCTGGCGTACGATGAACTGAGCGAGGAGCAGCTCAAGTCTCTGCACATAATCGACCAACCGCCCAGCCCCAACGTCCAGTGGTGCCTCAAATGCTTCGGAGCCCCCGTCATCTGATCACAAAAAAACCTGACTGCAGCAGGGAGGGAAATGATTTTGTATTTAAACCCCTCCAATCGCCTAAAACACGGTACCTTTTCTTCTTCTCCTCCTCCTTGTCTTGGAAGATTTTTTTTTTTACAACCTCTCTGGAGCTTTTCATAGACTTTCCAAGCGGCTGCTTACAGGTGGGACTGTTTCTGTAAAAAGGCTCGGACACCTGCAGTGGATCTTCTGGGACTAGTTGTGTTTCTTTACAGATGGTGTATAGAATAATGAATCACTGTACAAAATGTATTGACTGCCTGTGTGGTGTAGACATGTGTCTGTGTGTGTTTGTGTGTGTGTATAATCACGTTGTCCCCGTCTTGTAGCTTTTTGCCCACTTTGCTTGAATCTGTCCCCAGATGAGTTCTGACCTTTGAGACTGTGTACATACCATGACTGTGCACTTTCTACACACAAAAAAGAAAGCAAACCCAGGTCCACCTGTCTTTTTGTACATATTATTTACTTACAGGGGGGAAATCTAAAACCAGGGTTGCCTATTTTTTTTGAGAGGCAACAAGTCTTGATGCCTTGACTTATTGTGTCCTGAGTCTTAATGAATGTTAAAGTTTGTTTCATTGTAAGTGTACAAGCTCTCTGTCCGTGTAAATATGCATTGGAAGCACACATGTAAATGAGGTGAACTGAGGACAATCACTAATATTCTGCAACATTCCAGATGCCCTGCAATCTAAACAGGTCTTAAAGAAGTATTATTGATCTCTGCAACAACACTTGTGTGATTAAAAGCAGCCGATAGGAGGAAATTAAACAGAGACAGAAAAGGCATGCCACACTATGGATTGCCACACTTTGAAATAGATACTTGTTCTCGGAGCCTCTGTGATGGAGCATTTTCAGTTTTTAATATCTGCATTTTTTTAACCGTAACATACTTTACTTCTTCAGCTAACATGCCTTATTGTAATGTTAAAATTAGAGCTGTGTCCTAACCCTAGCATGTTAAATACATGTTTTAATTGGGTATTGTGTTAAATATGCTTTTATGGTTTACACACAGTAGCTCCGAGCTTTATAATACTGCAAAGGGCTTCTTTAAGACTGCTGACACTGTGTTAAGAGAGAAATAATTTCGTAACATGACATTCCACTAAGTGCCCGGAACTGTTGGAAATGTAGATGGTCCTATTGTAGACTAGGGAGAGCGACTTGTACAGAAGTGATTAATATTTGCACTGCATAGATTAAAACCTTGTTTAGACCCAGGGTGAGGATGAGATGACATCACCTCAAATATTCACAATTGACAGTAGTTTTTCCTCCAAAACAAATGAAATTCTCAATTATTTATTTTTGTATCATTGACATTTGGATTGCAGATGGTGTACCTTCAGATTTGTATGACTAACAATCCCCCTTTCCCCTTTTTAATCTGTTTAAGGGATCCCTCCCTGTACGGACTTTGTAAATGTGGCCTCCTAATGGCAGAGGATGTACAGAAGAGACTGTCCTCTAATGATAGATTAAATGATCTCTTACCGTCCTGTGGAAAGGAATTGAATGTCTACCCTTAAGTGCGCTGCAATAAATGAGTTTGTGAACTGATTGAAAAATGAAATGTGTCCATTTTGTGTCTCCATGCTGATGAGGATTTATATTTGTCGGCATAAGAAGCTGGGATGTTATTTTGCATTTATTGTGTTATTTCTAATAAGTAAAATAAATAAAGTATTTCCATGCTGTGTTGCGTAATCTCCCTTCGTCCTTTTATGTTCCGCTTCAAATTCCATCCCAAGTAAATTCTCATATTCTTTCTTTCTTTTCTCCATTTCCTCCATGGACATCTTTCTTTATCTTGTCCTCCATCACTTGTCTCATGTCTCTCATCTGCGATTTGGCAAGGATTAATAATAAAATCACTGCAAATTAAAATTATTTGGTCAAATTGGCTCTGCAAAAGTGATGATCACATTAATAATTGTTATCCTATAATATATATTAATCTGAAATGGGCCATTCTGCATCATTAGTGTTTTTGTTACAAGGAGGTTTTGAGTGTGTGTGTGTGTTTAATTATTTACATTTTTAATATTTAATTTCAAAACATGAATGTTTCAAGGCTTTTCAGTTTAGCTATTTTTGTTGTTTTTTGGTTGTACTATCACTTTTACTGAATTGAAATATCAGAACAAAACCAAATCTCACCGATTCCATAATCGATAAACAAAATAAAGGCTAAACGTATGCTTCCGCCACGCAACGTAGATCTCACCTGATTAGTTTCCGGTGAGCGGATGAACATCTTAATTAACTGTTGTGCTGTAACAGGTGTGTGGAGCGGTTGCATTCGCAGGCTGAACTCTGAGAGGATCAGACCACAAGATGCCTTCGAGGCGGGTAAAGAACCAAGGATCCGACCCAGCTCAAGTGCGGCAGAGCCGGGAGATGAGACACCGGAGACTGGCTCTCTTTATCCAGCAGTTTGAGAAAGAAGGTTTGGCTGAGACTGTTGCTCAAATGTCAGCTTTACATCCTCCAGTTGTCCCTGCTCGGCTGCTAGAAATGGCGAACCTTTTTTTCTTCTTCCTTTCAGCACAAGAGCGTATGAACGAGTTGGAAGCCAAACTGGAGAACATGTTGGCCACAGTGGACAAAGTCTTCAAAGTGGAGCTGATGAAGGTTCCTCTTGCTCTGCAAAAAACACGGATAGGGGAATTATTTAGCGGTGAGTCTTCAGCATTCTTAACCTGTTAAGCCCCGAGCCTGTTTTTCAGGTTTCAGGCGCGAAAATGACATTCCCAGAACAAATGACCATATCTTCCCTTCTAAAAGGGTTAAATTAATAATCTTTTTTCTCAAAGTAATGATAAACCTGCGAGTTGGATGTAGAAAAGTCAGATTCAATATAGATGTTTTTTTATTTTAAAGAAAATTCAGATTGAACATGGTAAAAAACTATAAATTATACTGTCCGTCCAAAAAATATGTTGTACTTATAGTGAAAACTAACCTTGGATGATGGGTTAGTAGCCGAATCAGGCCCTTCAGAACTTTTTTCTGGCCCACAAGATGTTGCCTGCAAATCAAAATGGCATATGTGTAATAGCATAAATAAAACTAATGTCTGATCACACTAAATCCGACGATGCAGCGAAAACGCTGGTTTTTCCATTCATTTGAATTATTTTGAATCCGTTATTTTGCCTGCCGCGATCTGCACATAAAAAAAAAACGCACTGTGTCCGCACTAGTGATGTGTCGGTCGCGAACGAGCCGGCTCAAAGAGCCGGCTCTTTTAAGTGAACGACGGGAGCCGGCTCTCGCCCGCGAACGAGCCGGTTATTTATTTTTTGCGGAGGGATCTAGATCGGCATGAAGGCACATTATGCAATGTGCACATTATCCCGCTTGTTACATGGCCACATTCTCAACAAAGTAATGACATGACTCCCAATATTAATTGAAATGCTTTTATGGATTTAGAAAATGATTTTATTGATTACAAAATAGTTGTATTGATTTAAATTGACATGCATCCGCTAAGAAAAGTAGTCCGTTGTTACTGTTTGAACTAACGTAGCAACGGCAGGAACTGCTTCGATAGTGTTTTTGAGGAGCTTTTTGATTACAGATTTGAAAACATCGTTGCTTGCTTTAAAAGTAGCACAATTCATTATGTCAAACTTTGGAAAGTATCTAGATATCCCTGCCCTAATGCCATAGGAACTGGCAACTGAATATGTGTCGCCGTTTGATGTCTATGTCTGGACCGCTGCGTAAAAAGGAGGGTTTATGCCCCGTTACTTCTCTTCTTACTTCTATAAGAATAAAACACGGAGGACGAAGATCTCTTTTTCTCCCCCTCTTCTGAGAGCCCATCAGCTGATCTCAGAGCATGCTCCCATCTCATGCAGGGGGGCGTGGTTTCTATAGCTAATAGTTACTGAAATAGAGCCCTGCTGTTTTGTCAGGGCCTTTTCTTTAAATATAATTTTAAAATGTCGATACAGTAGCCCCTTTTTTAAAATAGCCTAGTTTTTATAGGTGTTGCTATCTGTTTTGTGTAGCGTGGTTCTACAAGCAAGTCAGTGCATTCATTGGGTGGTATCAGAGAGTTACAAGGGTCTGTAAATGCAATGAAAACATTTGGCCACAGCAAATCATTTATATTAAACATGTAATTTTTACTTTTGAATACTTCAGAACAAAGGATGTATTGAATAATTTAAGTGATATATGTGTACACATATAAATCATTAGTCAAAACAGGGCTACATTTGATTTAATTAAAAGGTATAATATGTGGTAAACTGAAGAGCCGTTTGGGAGCCGAAAGAGAGAGATCCAAATGATCCGGCTCACCAAGAAGAGCCGGAATTCCCATCACTAGTCCGCACTTGTCATTGGCTCAGTCAAACTCACGTTACACACTAGGTTCGCGGGCCAGCGAGTAGCAGCTTCAAGATGTCTCTCTCCAAGCCCAAGTATGGGCATAGATATGTGATGTCTCATAATTATTTGTGTGAACATATAAATAATTTGTGTACATATGTGATTTGTAAATGTAAAACACCATCCACAAATGCATTTAAAAGATTTGCAAACTCATAAATAAATTTGCAAATGTAAAACGGATCTGCAAATACGCTAAATATTTTCACAAATAAAAAAAAAGATCTGAATATCTCTTTAACATTTACAACTTTCGATCAGGCATTTGTGAATCCATTTTGTATTTGTCGACCAAAAATGCACTTGCGGATCTCAAATCTCTGCTCGTGGATCGTCTTTTTACACACACACGGAATTGAGACATATTTTCCGCCGGTCTCGGCTAAAATCTACTCATGTCACTCGGTTATTTTCGGAAACCACGTGATGGCCTGCTGATGACGACATTTCCTTATGATTTCAAAGTAAGAGCATGATGGTTTGTTTAATGCTCTGTTTTTTTATTATAATGAACAGCGGAACGTTAGATGCATTCTTTATCATCATCATCATGTTATAGTGATACAGTTAGTTTATTGGATCAATATAGCATATATCGAGCACTTTCGTTGATGTTGAAGTACAGGCTATAGCCACTTTCGGATCCCGGGGGGAGCAGCTGGCAGCGAAGCAGCCCAGATAAAACTCTTTCTTCATTCTTTGTTTATTATTATTCAGTCAAGCGGGTCAAAGTTACAAAGCACTTCACATCTTATTAATCGGCCTAATTTTACTTTACCAGTGCAGTAATAAAGTAATCTGTAGAAAAGCACCGTATTTAGGTTAGCCTTCATAGTAAGGCTACATTGAAAGGTTTAGGCCCAAAATACATTTCTGACCTCCTGCTAAATTATGAACCATCCAGATCTCTCAGGTCTTCAGGGACTGGTCAGCTTTCTGTCCCCAGAGTCAGAACTAAACATGGTAAAGCAGCGTTCAGTTATTATGCTCCAAATATCTGGAACAAACTCCCAGAAACCTGCAGGTCCGCTGCAACTCTGACTACTTTTAAATCCAGGCTGAAGACTTTTCTTTTTGCCGCTGCTTTTAATTGAACTATTCACATCTTAAACTGCACTGTAACTTTTATCCATGTATTTTTTCTTTTAATGTTTATTTTATTATCTTTTCTTTTTAATGACTGATTTTAAATGCCATTTTCTTAATGTCTTTCGTTTTTTGTAAAGCACTTTGAATTGCCTTGTGTTGAAAAGTGCTGTATAAATAACCTTGCCTTGCCTTACATTAAATGTTATAATATTCATCGTGTCCTTTTATATGCATATATTCCTGTCTATTGCATTCATTTGTATTTAATGTTATTGTGTTTATACTTGTTTCCACACATTTCACAATTTGGGATGAATGAAGTATCTATCTCTATATATGATATCCATCTATCTATCTGTCTGCCTACCTACCTATACCTGCCTGCCTACCTACCTACTAGTTGTTTTGTTTGAAAAGGTTTTGTCATTGTATTGCTCTTTACCGGCACCTGCAGAGTACAGGACTTTACATTGTACTTACAATTTTACATTGTAACTTTGAGCCGCTTGACTGAATACACAACAAACAATGAAGAAAGAGTTTTATCTGGGCTGCTTTGCTGCCAGCTGCTCCCCCCGGGATCCGAAAGTGGCGTATAGCCTGTACTTCAACATCAACGAAAGTGCTCGATATATGCTATATTGATCCAATAAACTAACACAAACTAACTATCACTATAACATGATGGTGATAAAGAATGCATCTAACGTTCTGCTGTTCATTATAATAAAAAAACAGAGCATTAAACAAACCATCATGCTCTTACTTTGAAATCATCCGGAAATGTCGTCATCAGCAGGCCATCACGTGGTTTCCGAAAATAACCGAGTGACATGAGTAGATTTTAGAAGTGACCGGCGGAAAATATGTCTCAAAATTCCGTGTGTGTGTAAAAAGACGATCCACAAGATTTGAGATCCGCAAACGCATTTTTGGTCGACAAATACAAAATGGATTCACAAATGCCTGATCGAAAGTTGTAAATGTTAAAGAGATATTCACAGATCTTTTTTTTATTTGTGAAAATATTTAGCATATTTGCAGATCCGTTTAACACTTGCACCTTTATTTGTGAGTTTGCAAATCTTTTAAATGCATTTGTGGATGGTGTTTTACATTTACAAATATTATTTTTATGTTCACACAAATAATTAGAGACATATCTATGCCCATACCCAAGAAACGTAAAGTTGATTCGGAAAATCGCCAATTCCAGAATGAATGGACTGACAAATATGTATTTACTTTGCCAGCCGCAACAAGTAATAAACCGGTGTGTTTATTGTGCAACGAAAGTATATCCGTGATGAAAGAATACAACGTAAAGCGACACTACAACTCAAATCACGGCTCGTTTTCTGCCAGTTTTCCCGTGGGCTCAGGAACGGAGAAGGAAAGTACAGAGACTGCTAGCATAATTTGAACGGAGTCAAGTGGCTTTTAGTCGCTTTTGCACGGAACAAGAGAGAGCTACGATAGCATCCCTGCGAGTAGCCTGGACACTAGCCAGACAGAAGAGGCCCTTTACCGACGCCGAGACCGTTAAAGAGTGCATGCTTGCTGTCATTGATGAAGTGGTTATTGACCAAAAAGTAAAAGACAGCGTCACTTCAGCCATTAAAAAAAGTACCTCTCTCAGACACAACAACACTTCGCAGAGTGGAACTACTTGCAAAGGATGTGTCGGGGAAGCTTTTGGAAAAGCAGAGTTTATATCAATCGCTGTGGGCGAATCAACTGACTGTACTGACATGGCCCAGCTGTGCATCTATGTGAGGTTTTTCGATGGAGTTCGCTTTAGGGAAGAACTTCTGGGGCTTATTCCGTTGGAGGGACACACTACAGGTGAGGTTATCTTTCAAAAGATAGTCTCGTTTTTTAACGAATGTCAACTGGATTTAAAAAAAAGTGTGCCTGTTGGTCACTGATGGCGCTCCAGCTATGATCGGCAGAGTGCAGGGGCTGGTGGCGCGTCTATCTGCCATAGCCCCACACATGCAGTATTTACACTGTATTATTCATCAATCTGTGTTGTGTGCAAAGCTCAGTGTTGACTTGAAAAACACCATGGACACTGTCATGACCATTGTGAATTTCATTCGCTCAACCTCCAGCCTACAACACCGCCTGTTCCGTCAGCTGCTTGCTGACACGTTTGCTGAACACACAGACTTACTCGTCCATAACGATGTCCAATGGCTCAGCAAAGGAAAGGTCCTGGATCGTTTCTGTGAACTCCGCCAGGAGATTGTGTCTTTCCTTCGCACGAGTAAGCACAAACGAGCTACAAACCTCTTGGAGCGCATGTTAGATGAACAGTTTATGGCAGACGTTTACTTTCTGAGTGACATTTTTGGACACTTGAACACTTTGAATTGCGAACTGCAGGGTCGAGAAAAGTCTATCGCTGATTTGGTTGAAAGACTTTGTGCCTTCAAGACAAAGCTAACGATCTTCAAAACAGACCTAATGACGATAACTGCTGCACTTCCCAAAACTCCATGCATTTATGACCACATCACCTGGAGCAAACATAGCGCCAGTCATGACAGACTTCATGACAAAATTGACTGATAACTTTACTGACAGATTCCAAGGCTTCAGCATTCCAATTGAGGTATTGCAGTTTGCCCGTGACCCGTTTTCCATCAAGCCTGATGCAGACTTCTGTGTAAAAGAGGTAATATCTTGCATTGATGAGAGCCTCTTTCAGATGGAGCTGGTTGATGTGCAGTCTTCCTTTGCTTTAAAACAGCTCCTGCAGTCTGAGGATGTAGTGGACTTTTGGTCTAACCATGTTAGCCAGTATCAGTACCCCACAATGAGGAAGGTGGCCTTGCTTATACTGACAATGTTTGGATCTACCTATACTTGGGAGTCTAGCTTTTCTCATATGAATGCCATCAAAACAAGGGCACGTTGCTCCATGACCTAGGAGAAGTTGCAGGAGTGTCTCAGGATTGCTCTTACCACTTATGAGCCAAACTATGCTGAAATAGCTAAATCAAGGCAGTGTCATTTCTCTCACTGACTCAAACAGGCTAAACATGACGGAAGTCTGATGCATGGTATGTATGCAGATCTGTTTGTATGGTCATTCATTGTATGGTCATTCAAACAAGCCTCCTTACTGTTTAAAAAATTATTAAAATGTTTCCAAGATATGAATGTTGTTGTGATTCTGATGGCTATTGTTTTACTATGTTCTATTTGCATTTAGTATTACATTTTATGGACTTGTGTTGTCTTCAATGCACATTCAATGCACAATGTATGCTTGGAAGTGTTGAGGATATTATACACATTTATATGTTGATACAATTAAAGTAAAAAAGGGATGCACTTGACTAGTTCAATGTATTAGTATATATTAACACTATGTAAGCAAGAGTTATTTGTAGTGATTCCTTGACAAAGTATTGTGTGGCCCACAAACCCCCAGTGATTTTCCTATTTGGCCCACTTGCTAATGAAGTTGAATAGCCCTGCTGTAGTATATCTACTTTTACCTAATTAATACTTCTTTCACTACTGATTTCCGTCCCCCTGTATTCTTTTAGAGGAGGACTTCTCAGCCAGTGACGTGTCAATTGCCATGAAGGTGAGTCTCAGTCTCACCTGCTGCCATCTTGAGTTTTGTTTTTAATATAACAGAAGTAATCATTATTAACTGATGTTGCAGAATGAGTCCCTAGAGATTCACCAACCCCTCAGGAGGACCCACAGTAAAATAGGTACAATTGTTTTCCTATGAAAAATGTTTATTTTAATTATGAAATTAAATGAAACGCAGTTGTTTGGAATTAAACTTAAAAGCATCTTCTGTTTTTGAAGTACAATCAACTGACTCTGGCTCACCACTCCTGAAGCCCTCAGCCAAGACTTCCAAGGTAAGCAGTTTATCAACTAATATTTGCCAAAAAGAGGGGGCTAACCGTTTTGAACCTGAGTTTCATATCAAATATTGGTTTGCTTTTAAATATTCTTTCGAGACAAGTTTTGGTATCCACAAGATTAGTCTAAACATTGCTTTTTTCCTATATTTTTAGGGAGGAAAAGCGACAAAAAAGAGCAAAACATTAGTTGGAAGTAACAGCACTGGAAATGTCAGGTAAGATTTGACGTATGGTTGTGCGAGGTACTTATCCATAGTCAGTATATCACACAATAGATGGACATTTGGAGAAATCGACAGGAGTACAAGGATGAAGAAAATGAATGAGTGTATGTGGATGAGGCCAGCAGCAAAACCTTATTAACCCACATAAGAACTACATTACCTACCTGATGTATATTTAGATTTGAGAGCCTTGAAAGGCGCCTATATAAATAAAATGCATTATTATTTTTTCCGCTTTACCTGGCTAAAATACAATACACATTGTGGTACTCCTGTTGTCTCCAAACTGCCATCTTCTGTATATAAACCTCATGCTGTATAACCATGCTTCAAACAACCTTTATTTATGTGTGTTTTTGGTAAATGAGTATTTATGCATTGACACTTTATGTTCTCCAGGGGCACCCCAGCCACTGCCAAGAGAACTCAGAGCCTCTTGGTCAAGAACAACGAGCAGACCCGAGCAATCAAACCGAAACTCAGGTCTGGTCCTGTCTGCAGTAGAGCGGCCATGTTCTATAGCCTTTACAATGGAGGCATGAAGATTGTTTTTATTTTCAATAATTGTTCTTGTATTTGAATGGATTGTGTCCCAGGTCTGTGGTCTCTGCTGGAGATCTGCACTGTTCCATGGCCGGCTCTGCTGCGCACATCACTGTCACCACAGCACAGGGACAGGTACTCTACACTTTGCACCAACTGGAAAAAGGCAACGCTGTGTCCTTATTTTTGTTCAAAGAAAGTGAATTTAAGCCTACCTTACCCGAGGAGAGTTTTCAGTTTTAATGTAAGAGCTGAATATACCTGGATTATGATCTGATCCACTAACTTGTATGCATGTGTTGTTTTCAGGCCCTCTCCTTTTCTGAAGAGACGCAGGATGACATTGACGTTGACCTGCTGGATGACGTAGCATTGTGCCAGTTTCAGAGGCTCACGGTAGTACTTTTAAATTCAACTTACTGTGTGATGAGTTATCTCATTTTCAGAAAAGGTTCAAAGCTTTGTATATATTTGTATATTAAAGTATATTGCTAAACCTTTGAAAAACATCATTCATTCTGGGTTTTCAGAATCTGATGGACAATCTGTTGAGGCGAAGGCGCTCCCAGCGATGATCAACTGACCAGCTCTAGTTCAACTGTTAATGTATTATGAAATGAGTCTAACAGTTTGTTTTTAAATTTTAATAAAGCTCATTTTTTTAATTATTCTAAATGATTGTCATTTAATGATCTAGTCAGTAGAATGAGTAAATGCCCTTCCCAATTTCAAAATGTATCAAATGCATGGATGCAGATTAAGAGAATAGAATTTACATTGCTAAGATGTAAATGTTAAAACATGTGAGAGAATTAAAGGCATAGCAAAGAGGTACTTTATGGACATGATTAGGATTTTTATTGTGGATAATTGTGTAAAAAAACTTGAGATCTTGCCGTGTGTATTTAATGAATAGGTAAATATTAGCCATTACTTTGTCTGAATTTCAAAGCTGTTGCCTCTAGACTAGTGTTGTCACGATACCAACATTTTGGTTTTGATACCAAGTCAAGAATTGCGACTCCGATTATTTTTCGATACTTTTCTTAAAAAAAGGAAAACAGTCTTAAATGTAATTATTGTGCTTTATTTCACACCATAACCATAACACACACTTTTAAACAATGAGAACAATAAACAAAATAAATGACAATAATTCGTATTAAATAAAATTAAGCATCATCTCAAACAACTTTTTTGTTTTATAAAATATTTGTTTTATATTTTATTAACATGTAATATAAATAATTATTGACAAAATGTATATTGCAGATGTTATCATTGCCATTAATTGTCTCGTTTGTCACAAAATAAATTACACTGGTTTGACTTAGATTTGAGGGCATGGGCTTGAGCATGATGTAATTATGTTATCTATCACATTCGCGAACCTGTCTGTCTTTAAATTCTTTAAACAGCTCTGGATTCCGGTCGGCGGGTGCTTAGCCAAGTCTGATGTGTTGGCTCCCTTGGTTTGCAGGGATCTAAAACATGTCTCACAGACGGGCCTCGTGGTGTCCGTAGGCTTGCCCTCACTGTCAGAGATATAGCTCAAATACTTCCAAATTTCGCTTATGGCGTCTTTTTTGTCAACAAGCCGAGGCGCAGCGGCAGTTGCACTCCCACTTGCAGCCATGCTTCTAGTTTTCTCACATGCTCTGGCAGCTAGCGCGTGCACGAGAGAGGGGAGGGACTTAGAGCGTGCTTGAGAGGGGCGGGACTGCAGGCACGGCTGCAGTGCAGGGAGTGGAAGCAGAGCGCTGAACACACACGGCTCTTATTAAAACGGCGCTTTCTCACCGGAGTACTTTTCCCCGTCATTCTTAAAGTACCGATACTAATGAAACGGAGGAATCGTACCGTTTTTAACGGCAGGGTATCGCGGTACCTTTCAAGTATCGGTACACCGTGCAACACTAGTCTAGACTAGAGAAACAAAAGCAAATTCAGATGTGTATTGTGAGGGGAAAGAAGCTAATTGTAATATTAATTCCAGTAGGTTTATGTAGAAAGCACCAGATTGGGGAGCAAATAAAATGCTATTTTAGCAATAATTACAAAAAAAGTATAAAATAGCATTGACATGGAACTAAGAGAGTTCAATCTTTGCCTAAAAAGCTAAATATGCTACTTAAAACTGGAATGCATTTCTATCGCTGACGGGACTCCAGCGACTCCATCTCCACCTCCACGGGCTCCTGTCGCTGTGATTGGGCATAGGCGGAGCTGGAGGACGAGGCGCGTGAAGCCGGTGTGTGAGGGGACTCCGGGGCCATGCGGGAGTAGAAGGGCCCGACCAGCCAGTTGAGCGGCGTGTTGTTGACCAGGTAGTCCATCACGTTGTCCAGGGAGTCCTTCATCCGGCCCAGCTGCACCCTGCTAGTGCTCAGCACGCTGTCAGGCAGCTCCCTCAGGGTGGAGGCTGCACTGAAGCTGCCGTACACCTGGGAGGCGGAGCAGCTCAGGGACAGCGCCTCCTGCTGGATGTGGAGGGGGAGACCCTGCAGGCCGGACACCAGGCCCAGGCAGGTGGTCTGGAGCTGCTGGGTGAGGGAGCGGGCCAGCGTCAGTGTGCGGGACTCGATCGCCTGAGAGGAGGGGGAGGGACAGATTTACATCACCTGACACACTTTACCTTCAAAAAACAAGGGAGGTGCAAGGAAGGTTGTAATAGTTTTGAATAGGATTTATTTTAGTTAAGACTTTTCTGTAAGTCAGTTGTCAGGTTTAGTTTGCTAGTTCAAGTTTATATATTTAGTTTTGCTGTAGTTTTGTGTTTGTTATGACACTATCTCACTAGCATGTAGCTACACAAACATGGGTGTAGGAATAGCCATAACATTAAACTCTTGATTTGGGAATCAACTTGAGTTGTCCTTAATTCCCAACTGTGGAAGATAATAACTTTTAGAGTTAAGTTGAATAGTTAAAAGGCATTTGATAAATCATGTTGTTCATTTTTGCAAGACTACACTGCATTTGATAACCATAGTGATTCATTTTGGAGCCTTTAAGTAAAGCTCAATCTGTTTGATGGTCAAGTCTGTGCATTTGCTGTGGTCTAATGTCCGAAGAGCTGATGAAAAAACCCTGCTCTTTTTTTCCTGTAGTATAATGGCTTAAAAAAACTAAATTTCACGGAAATATCAATACTTCGCTTTTTCTTAACAGGATAATGCTTTAATTTAGTTTACTATAATAACCCTGGTGTGGTATAATCCACAAAATGGGTCCATAAAATAGACAGATTAATGTGTGAGCTCGTTGTGTGTTAGTGTTACCTCTGCCTCGTGACCGTTGTGCTGGTTTGGACCGTTGGACTTCCACACAGACTGAGAGTTCAGGTTGTTCACCATCTTGGTAGCCCCGTCAATATTCCTCCTGCCATATTCGATCTAGATTTTTTTTTTAAAAACATACTTTATTAGCCTCTCACCATAAGCAGTAGAAAAAATGATGTTCTTTTTATATCCACTTTAGGGCTGAATGAAGTTATTTGTATTACTGGTGTGCCGTTGTAGAAGATTGTGTGTGTCAAAGGAGATTTGTCTTTATTGTAAAGTGTCTGAATGTATGACTCTGACTAAAGAGACCCACCAGGTCGACGGTGGAGTTGAGCTCGGAGATGAACTGCACGCTGCGCTGCTTGCGGTCTCTGATGTTGGCCAAGGCTCTGGTGTACGCTCTCTTCCGGAGTTTGGTGGAGAGGGAGCCCAGGCGGACGTAGTAGCTCGCCTCCTCCCGGTCAAACCCTGTCGCAGTTTCTGCCTCCAGCTCTGTCACCAGAGAGGGAACATCAAAGTTAGGTCACACAAAATCTGATAACAAGTTATTTTATGATTTTTGACAGTGTTGCTTCTCTACTGAATTGAGAGTGCTGGAAATGACTGTAGTTTATTGCAATGTAGTTATACACCTGTCAATTCCTTTAATAAGACCTATTGTTTTGTTATACATTTTTTCATGGGATGCCATAATTCACTGTGAACAAGGATGGCTTTAATGATTGAAAAACTGGCCACTAATACAGATATTAATTCTCAGAAAAGCTAGAAAAGTCAGGTTTTCCTGGAAACTGGTTAATAGGTGACCCTTGATAAAGCTACTACAGAGCCTTAAGCCCTTTATTTATTATTGATTGCTTTTTCAATATATATCTATTGATGTAATTGTTTTTTTACGTCCACTTTCTAACCATTAACATTACAGACTGTTTCCACTTCCATAATATTGTAATTTAATTTCAGAAAAAAGACAAAACGCACAATAAACAAAGTAAAAGATAAATTCGACTCAAAATGTTCTATTTCTATGTAATGAATTATTTGACACTAAGTGTGTAGTGAGACTGTATTGTAAACATAAATCTGAACAGCCACTAAGAGGTGATACATTATTGAAGAAAAAAGGGATGCCTGTGTTCAGTGTGTAGTTGTTTGTCCCCTCACCCAGCTCGTCCTCCGTCAGAGGCAGGTACTGCTCCACCAGGCTCTCAGACGTGCTGAGGGCGGAGTCCACGCCGCTGCTCACCATCCGGGCCACTCTGCTCTCCAGCACCGTGCTCACACTCACACTGACCGCAGCACGAGTCTTATCCATCCCCTCATACACCGCGCCCCGCACACTGCTCAGAGTGCCCGACACGGAGTCCTTGGCCCCGGACACTCGCTCCGTCACCGCCCCTGTAGCCGTGGTTACCACATCCTTGGCACTGGAGACAATCTGGGTGAGGAAAGAGCAGTGGAGGACGTGACTCAAGACAGATACAACATTGAGCAATTTATGATTCTGTAATCTGACCTTTGACTCGTGTTGCTCATTCAGAACAGCTCATACACAGGTTAATATAGGTTACTAAAACTCAACTTGGAAAGTAAAACTAAGTGTGAAATGTAATAAAAGACCGTTTAATTACAGAAATGTTTTAGCCTTTTATCAATTTGGTCAAATCTATCATTGATCAATTGCCTGTTTGTATTTAAATGTTTCTAAACTTTCTTACGCCTGACATACACCCCCATTTGATATATATATATTTATTTTCCATCTCCACCTCCACGGGCTCCTGTCGCTGTGATTGGGCGTAGGCAGAGCTGGAGGACGAGGCGTGTGAAGCCGGTGTGTGAGGGGGCTCAGGGGCCATGCGAGTAGAAGGGCCCGACCAGCCAGTTGAGCGGTGTGTTGTTGACCAGGGGGGCCTTCATCTGGCCCAGCTGCACACTTAGTTTTACTTTCCAAGTTGAGTATATATATATATATATTTATAGGTGTATATATATATATATATATATACACCTATATATATACCTATAATTACTTTTTTAAACAAATGAATACTGAATCTAATCAAAACTCAAATAAAGCTACTTTGAGACAAATTATGTTCGACCAATACAAACTAAACCTTACCGAGCTGAAAACTGAATTTAAAAACAAATAATGAATATAAAATTAAATATTCAAAACTATTGTAACTCTTGTTCATACCTGCTCAGATGGCTGGTGAAGAATCGGCAACGTCTTCTCGATTTTATCCAAACCTTTGCAGGCCAGGTCATTGGCAATGGCAACTATAGGCAACACAAATGTAGAGAAAGCTGTTAGAAGAAATCAATATATAAATGTAATCCGAAAATACTAGGGAGAAAAGTGCTTAAATGTTTTTTTAAGTAAAA